TATAGGGAGGGTTCATCCAAGGGAGGTTTGAGTAAAAATGTCTTATTTTTGATGAATATTTATAAATAATAGCAATTATTGAAAATAATCAGTAGTTTTAGTTTGTTTAGGTATATTTAAGTAAATATTAAATGCATTAGTTTTAATTTTGTCAAATTGTTCAAATATTTAAGCATCAGATGCGTCTCTAGATATAAAGTAATAATTTAGAGTTCACAAATCAAAGAATGAGTACACATCTCTTACAATATTGAATGAAAATTGATAGAAAAATGTGATTTTGTTTGCTTAAAGTCTTAGATTAAAGACTATTTTGAATATTTTTAGGGATCATTTGCTTATTATTGTATTTGTTCACTATTGGGAGTGAAAGTTTTATCTTAATTTCTATAAATCCGTTCATAATGGGGAGGTATTCATTGTGGAGAAGTTTACCTAAGGGAGGTTATATTAGCATTATAAGTATAGGAAATCCAACATAAATTTCAAAACCGTTCATTATGAGGAGGTGTTCATCCAAGAGAAGTTTACCCAAGAGAAGTTGTACTGTATTTATATCTATTTAATTATGTTTTAATGAATGAATTTCTAATATATTTCTAATTTCTAATTTATTTCTATTGTGCATGTGTTTAGTTTGTTAACAATCGTTCATAATTTAAATGCAATTAATAATTACCGGCCACGGCTTGTATTGTCCCGGATATTGTGAATATACTTTTGCGACAAATACTTCTCTTACAACAGCCTTAAGGCACGCATTGAATAGAAAACCATATAAAATGTGAGACAAAGAAAGAGAAAAAAGCAATCGATTATAATTGTGACAATTATTATAATACACGAGTGTTTCATATCTACTGTACGTCTCGTTATGTGAGAATATTTCATTTGGCCATCAATTGAAATCCCGACACAACGTAAAGACAATACAATACGATATGAATGAGAGGACGGATTGAATGCATACCTAAAAGGCTGGCGATAATCGTGAGACTCATAACACAAACGCCGATCGTATAAAATATTAGCGACGCTTTCCATGCGTTGGGAAATGAATTGTTTTCCTGATCTAAACCGGAGACAAACGGCGCGCACTCTGTTTGCAATCGGTTTAATTGGTATATTCTGGTGCACCGGTTGAATATGCCTGTGGGTGAAAAAATACAATATATACCCGTCCCATACAATTCCCCGTTCAATACTTTTATAATATATAAAAATAACAATAATATTCCAACAATAATACAGTTATATATATCTACTATTCTGTACGTTATTGTCTGTATTGTTCGAGCACTTCATATAATGAATACGTTTGGGAATAACAATACAAATACAACTATAATATAATTTGCTGTAACGGAATAATTGAGTTAATAAATCAAAGCCTACAAAACATTTTGTGGGTCATTCACTGGGCTATACTGTACGGCAAGTTATATGTGTGTAATAATATAATAATGTCCAAGACTTTAAGGGTGTCCTTCCATAGGGATATCTAACCCGTGAAATGTCCAACACTTTATGAAAAGACTATTTAAACACATTTATTCCTAACCCCTCTCTAACCCTAAGGGTTGAGAAACTAATGAAATACATTAATAATGAACTGAATTGTTAATTCGTTGAGTAAAACATAGTTTTTATGGCAAATATATGCAAATACAACACCAGTACTGACCCAATGATGGCGTGAATTCATTGATGTTATTATTTTGCAGAAAATTGAGATTCAGATCAAGAATATTATTGTTGTTGTTATTGAGGGACGACTGTTGTGACAGTTTGGCCGCTGTTTGACGGCTCATCTTTTTCGGTGGTCCGACGAGCCATATGGGCGTCCAAATGGCCGCTAACATACACAGTGTCGCCGCTATCGACAACAGCGTCCAGATTAGTGTCCGGGCCGTCACTATCACATAACAGCACATGTCCTGCAAATACAATAATGCTATTGTTATAATGCAATCAATATTAATTTATCAATACATTTGTGTCACAAATATTGTAATCTATACAATGGAGACGAGAGAGAGAGAGAGAGAGAGAGAGAGAGAGAGAGAGAGAGAGAGAGAGAGAGAGAGAGAGAGAGA